TTATTAATTCAACCTTCTATCAGCTTTCAAGTTCCGTGGTTGATCAGAGCCAGTACTATGCCCCATGGCTTAAGGAGATTGGTTGTCATTACCCACTGATGTAAGTCCCATCATTGTAAACCAGTTATCCAGTTTCCTGAATGGTTCTTGGCATATGGTGGGTAATGTATGGTGAGACAGGGAGAACTATATGACAGTAGAACAGCAAACAGCCCCGGTGGATATAGCACAAGATAATGCTGTTACAGGGAATCAAGCAGGACATCAGGATTAGTATCATTTTCATTTTCACTGGACTGGCTTTTCACTGGCATATTGGCGTATTGAGAAAATGTATTTAAAAAGGTGCATTGTGTAGCTTTTCAAGTAGAGGTCTATCAGATGTTATTGTTTTGTCCAAAATGTTTCACAATATGGAATTAAACCTTTTTATCTACAGGTCAGTTCAGTGAAGAGGCAACCCCACTCACAGTCAGAATCACATTTATTGGTATTTTTGAGCTATAAAAATACCTGTAATTTAATAAATGTAAGGTAGACCTTACCAGGCAGAAAGAAACATGCAGGTGTTGGACCAACAATTAAAAAGTTACATAGTGCACCTTTAAACAACAACTTTCATTCTTAAGTGTACCATCTGACTTCAAATCAAATATCCTCCAGAAATATACCAAACATAAAGGCAAGCCAATTATAATTATAATTATAGGCTTGTGTGGCTTTACATATAATACAAAGCACAATAGCACTGCATAAACCTACAAACAAAATCTGATAAAATTAATACACATTTTTGACTGATCTCTCAATTATTAAAAAGTCTTAGATGATCGAGTATGCATTCAATTCCAAGTACCAAGACCACCCTTACTCATTCTTGGTCCAAAATCACATTCATTCTTCAGGCATAATTAGCACTTTGACTATTAATGCTCCCAAGGATATGAATCGCATCACTTCTGCTCTAATTGACTTAGCAAACACATAATACGGTTTCTATAACATGGCGGCTGCTCAACAGTCCCTGTGTGTACCCAGTAATGAAATGCTACATTGACCATGGAACTATAATGAGAAAGGTATATAATAATTAACACTACATTGACTCTCAATGTGCTACCTGGATTTACAATAATCCAGGAGAGCTGAGCTGAATAGACAATGAAATGTTTTATTGTTCCTGTTGTAGATGACCATAAGCTGAGGCATTCATTCATGAAGGCTCTTGCATTAGTTTTAATCATTTGAATAACTGAATTTCCTCGGATCACCCATGCAAGCACTGGTGTGATTTAACTGGCTGAACACAGAATATAAGGAATGTAAAGACAAGGTTATTTTTAAAGCAAGAAGTTATTTTATTTTCTACACATATATCTTGCAGGTAGTAATGTTTAACACAAATTTCTGCATTTTGGTGTTATTTAGTGTTAGATTTATACAAGGACAAATGATGGGAATGTTACATTCTTGAAAGTCCTGGCAGTGAACACTATTGCAAACGGTTACAACTTCTATTGCAAGGTATTGCGAGGTGGGTCTAATCATTTCCAGCCACGTTTTTCTTTTGGTGTCTTCCTTTGGTTTGCATTTCAAGTGGGAAGACTTCAGACAAAAGCAATAGCAACACAATATATTTACTACTGGGAACATTTGCCCTGTCTTTTATTCACAACATGCTCTGTATGTTTCTTGGTGCAGTGTTTGAAAATGTAGTCAGTGCCAAAGCAGAAATATTAAATTATATTGTATAAATTATAACTGTATGTACACTGTGCTCTTACTTTTAAAAACTGGGGTGTGCAACCTGCAGAGGACACACAGACCATGGCTCATGTGAAAGCTCAGAACCTCCAGAATTGACTCACTGAACTGTAGAGGCTACACAGGCACTGACTCATGAATGGCTGCAGGTGCTAGGGTTTAGGTAGTGACCATTCAGATCAGATAGAGGCATGTTAAGCATTGAAAATGAGAGACTTACGTGAGGCTCATTCTGCTTTCTAAATGGATAATCTTGTTGACAACCAAAACACCAGATTATAACATATCATGTCCAATCTTTTTGTAATTAAGAATAAGTCCGCATTAGAACTGTTTTCATTAAAAGCTACATTAATTTGAATGTGTTTACTTAATTTGGAGATTGGTCAAGTTTTTGAAAAATCTTCTATACAGTCTCAGTAAATATAATAAACTTGCCCTAAAACAAATTTAAACATTTTCTCTTATTTATAGAAAAATATATATTATGTGGAACATCTACTAAAAAATATGTACCTGAAGTATATTAAGGTTGAGGTACACTTTATTGTCCCCATTGGGAAATTTGTCCTCTACGTTTGACCCTTCCTGTAATGCCACTGAGGCAACTCCTCAGAGGCAGTGAGCATGGCAGCACAATGCCCAGAGATGTGTTTACAAACTGTTCTAAGTGCAAGTCCTAAGTTTGCAGCAAGAAAAGTACACTTACAAAATAATTCAAAATGCTTCTCTTCACCTTTAGTTAAAAAAAAAAAAAAAAAAAGCCTCACTTCTATACCACACAAACAGCAGCAGACAGGACAAGTCTCTCCCACTGGCACTAACGCAGTATAATTTCAGAGCTGTGTTTGAAGATTGATGAGAAAGTTCCTAATTGGTACAAATTAAAATGCAGTAATGTTTTTGTAATGACTACACAGAGGCGGAGAAAACATCTTGTGGACAGGTGTTTATAATGAAGAAAGTGGCTTTTAAACAGCTGGCTTTGCCCAAACTTCACTTTAGGAGCGATTTCAGATCACTCAAGACTGAGACAAGAGGAGGACTCACGTGAGATCCACTGACCTCACATGCACTGACCTCACTGCAATAAATGGCATTAGTTAGAAAGCCTAATATGAAAAAGGGTATAATAACAACATAGAACGTTCACAAGTCACTCCCTCAAAACAAGAATCAACAATGAGAAAGAAGCCCAGCTGCGTTTTGAGTCAAACGGATGTTAAGTGCAATGTAGCAGCATGCATGATTTACACTTTCTTCTTCTTTTCAACCTCTAAACTTGACTTCTCTGAAAAAAATGCAATTATGTGCACTATTCTAAGTAATGTTGTAACACAAGTGAACAGTAAATGAAGGCAAGGTAAGGTTCAATATCTTGCCCACAGACACTTCATACTATTAAGAGTGCCAAGTAGAAAAGTAAACACCAAGATTGCATTTAGTCAACCATCTCTTTTATATTGGGTATTGGAAATTATGAACACAAATTTCTATAAAATATTACTGGCAAGTGTTTTGTGAGCAGTAGAAATGATAAAGGTCTAGACAGGTGTTTGCAACTGTTGTGATGTTGTTACTTCAGTGTTACTTCCCTGTGCATAGTTGTCAAGTCATACATGTTTCAGCAAAGTTAATATACATCTGAATAACTATCTTCAAATTGCCTAAATTGAAATAACTGAAACAGGATTGTTCAATACCATGTTATAATATTGTAGCCCATGATAAGGTATGGCATAGTACAGAGGAAAAAACGCACATACTGTCCTTGGTCAGTTTTTGTTACACTGGTACATAAGGAGCACTCCAGCTGCAGCATTGAGAAGTAAACCACACATTATTCACAAATTCTATCAATATCCCAGTGCTTGTAGCAAAAAAACTGAATAAAATGCATTGGTCAAATCTTTCTGCACCTACCCATGTGGGATTTCTCATTTTTCTGTCAGGTAGTTGCACCACAAGACAAAAATAGTCCAGATTCTCAAACTTTTCACAGCAAGAATATTACATAGGAATTAGAGGGTCATGACCACAGCAAAACATGAAATAAATAAATAAACAACTATGCAAGAATTGGCCCTAACTCTTCAGTAGAAAAAAGGATGGAAAAAAGAGATAGAAAGATTGAGTCAGAATTAGATAAAAAAGCTCACAACCAGTTCTATAGTTGGAGAACCACTGGGCTATTGCACACATTGCATACATCGGTTTAGTGAGTTTGGAGCATCTGGTACTCCAGCATATTCCTCCCTGCACCTGCAAGTCCACCTTTGTCATTCTGATTTCCAATTTCGTTCCTCCTTCTGTAACACCTGCTTAACACAGCAATGGTGTAAGCATCTGTAACTGCACGGCGTAATTTTACTCATCAGAATAAGCACTGTGCAAAATGATAGTCTACACTCAATCAAGTATAAATGACAACAAAACAAACAACTCAGTGTTCAAAGTGATGTGTGAATCTCTCAGGTTTTGGAAGTTCAACGCCAAGATGCAAATTCATTTCCACAAGGTAATTGCTATAACAGCACTTCACCTCATCTTGGGGCTATTAGGGACTTGCTGGGTGTGAAAAAGGCTCACCAAGGCCGATCGATGCCCACTGAGAACTTCATTTATATTTCTTTAATAGTTGCCATAGGTTTAGATAATGTCCAGTCATTTTGAAGGCAATGGGCACGTGGATAGGGATGAGATCATAAGTAACAGACTGTCATTAACAAAACTCCATGCCCAAAGGAACCCCTCCAAATGAATTAATTAGAAGAGAGAAGCAAGACAATGCATAATATCAAAACCGAAATGGCTAAAACATGGACCAAAGTGGATGAAATGATTGACAGCGTGCAGCTTTGGTTTGCAGCATTTACATCACTGTCAGTATCATAAAGTGCCATATATATATATATATATATATATATATATATATATATATATATATATATATATATATATATATATATATATATATATATATATATATATATATATATATATATTTTTTTTTTTGTAATTAAGTAATTTTGCGTTTCATTTTACATCTTAACAACAAATTGAGTCAGTATTCTTCAAAAGGGGCTTTACGCATCTTGCAAATGCATAACAAATGTCACGCGGCGTGCTCTTGACATAGCCTAATCACTGCGTCGCCAGAACGAACACCTGCTAACTTATCCTAACAAAAAGACCGATGAGATTATACGTAGAAGGCGAAATGTTTTATTGTTTACCTCAGTTTTTAGTTCATCCTTGTTGTGGAGACGAGAAGACAGTCCAGTATGATGCGCAGTAGTCCGGATCTGAAACGTAGCAACGCGCTTCTTCTGCAAACAACTTGGCTGCTGCGGGCTACTATCACTACTACTGCCCCGTAATAAACGTGGGATTACAGCGAACTGCTTTCGACTCCAGATATTACGAGAAAAATACGAAAGACGAGATTTAAAAGAAGTAGTATAGAGTAGCACGTGAGAAAGAATAATAAAATTGCGATGTAGGCAGTGGGAGCAGCGTTATCGCTCTCATCCGACCACAGAGGATCGGATAGTGACGGTCACGGCAGTCCCCGCCCCTTCGCTCCTTCAACGCAACAATGAGTGTAACCAAGCAATAATTCAGTATTTGTAACTTTTGTTTGGGGTTTTAGGGTAAATAAAACTAGTTATGTTTGTTCAAATGTAAGCATCTTTATTACTTTAAAGCTGGAAAAAAACGTAGACATAGGCAGGTCTCATTAAGTTTTATGATAGGCACACTTTATCAATTAAATAAAATGATGATTTCATGTTACTATGTCACAACAATGTTAAGTCACCTCACACACAATACAGGAAACGGTAAATTCCAACTCCAACATTAAGGACTGAACCTGAATCCCACTAATCAATGCGCGTCATTTACCTGATTTTGCATTTTGGACTGGTGACTGTATACATATGCAGAACTCTTAAATTTTGAATCTATTCAAATACATTTGTAGCCTATGAAAACATTTTTTAATAAAAAAAAAAAAAACAGTTGCAAAACAAATCCTCCAAATTAGCTTTATTTTGAAATAAAGTTGAGCGGAAATCTATGTTTTTGTTTTTATTATTAACTTGACTTTGTTAAGAAGACCAATCAGAGTGGGCGCTGACACATATACAATGGCTTTAACTGTTTAAAGAACCGAGATGGGCGGTGCTTGTGATCGTCAGGGACAGAATAGCTCACACAGTCGCATGCGGAGACCTGTAGACACGCCGATGTATAAATCAATGGCACTCGGTGGGATCACTTCCTTGTAGTTGTCAGAAAGGAAAGCAAGGAGGCAGCACAATTTAGCAAAGAGTTCCGACGGTATTTGGGAACGAAGGACATTTGTGGTAAATCTTAAATATATTTTAAGAAGTTTATTGATCGTTTATGCTTAGCTGTGTGGACCGACTCCAAAATGCTAACGCTAGCCTGTTGTCTGCGTGGTTTATCTTTGGCTTACAAGAACGTGTTTTGGGCTATAACCAGCTACATAATAAATAAAATAAATAGTTGCATAAATGCAGAACATGCACTGGCTTATAAATCTTGTCCAGTTTCCTGCAATCTGTAAAATCATTCATCGTGCTGTCTATCACGCAAAACGTTGGAAATTTAGGATGGCAGCCTCTATACATGATGTTGTAAGTGCAAAACTATGGTTATCCTTGTATCCAAATAGAATAACTAATAATGAATAAACCCAAAGTACGTGGCACAGTCACACTGACATCTGAGGCCTTGACCTCAGTTCACATTTACTGATAAAGATAATAAATGAGATGACCATAGACCATATAATCAAGGGGGTGACCTCATAAACAAAAATAAATAATAATGGTGCTAATAGAAAATCTGAAAACAAAACAAAACAATAATAATAATTATAATATTCTATTTCTGGGTTATAAAAAAATACCATTTATGTGTTTGTTTCTTTTTGTTCAGATATGGGCTCTAATTGAAGACAAATGACCTGAACATCCTGAACACCTCACGATCACTAATACATCCATGTGTATAATCTTCTTCAAGTTCGACCCCAGGCCTGCATCCAAAAACGCCTACAGGTACAAAACAATATTTCATACATGACTTCTTCTATAATAAAACGGTCATAAAATTGTATATCTAGCAGCCCAGTGACAGTCAGCTGTTACTAAGCGACTAAGCAGAAAGCAAAAGTAGGACATGTGAAGCGTGAGTTGGTTTAGTTCTATCTTTAGAGATAATCCTTGTTCTTCAATGAAGACAGGATATCACATTCACCTGTTTAACAAAGGGCATTAGAAACTTGTATAAGACTATTATAGATTGCCCTTTCCATGTTAAATTTGATAGTTGCTGTAATTGCCCTAAATATTCCACATGTTCTGAGCTTTATGTTGGGATTGTTATGAAACAAAAAAGTAAAATATGAGGAATTGAACCTTAAAATAACTTCATGTCTTCAACTTAGTTCTGCAGTGGATTGTACTTGTTCTTTTACTCTTGTACTTGATGCTGTGTGTGTACAAAACAGATGCAAGTTGCAGGATAGTAATAATCTCTTGTAATGTAAGTAGTTGCCTCCTTAAGCAGTCAGATTGGTTTGTGTTGTGAACCTGATACAGCTGTTCCAGACAAACAGATCTCTATTGTCTATTTAAGCTGGGCTCTTGTGGGCACGTTTGACCTGATTTGGTATTTTGATTTCAGTCATAGCGAGTTGCATAAGTTTTCCAGTCTTTACATTGTGAAGGAGTCTCACATGTTTACCCTGGTTTAAAGAGCCGGAAATGTCCATAAAAACACCACTTATTATTCGCCCTCTTTGTGATATGATCCCCTGGTTTGGACCTGGTTCAACCCTGATTTGCTTTTTGTTTTAGGTTTGATTTAAACCCATTGTGGTGCATTAAATACTGTATGTAACTAAAGTTATATGATAAGTCTTGCCTATGGTAATCCCTTAAAACGTGGTTTAGATTTTACAGTTTAGCTCGGACTTGGTCCTGGTTGAGTCCAGTCCAGTGTCTTATTTTAGGTAATTGAATCCAGTACTAGACAATCACTCCATGAGCAGTCTATGTGGGTTAGTGCAGTGAGTGCCATGACCAGCTTACAACTACTAGTCCAGTCTGCCCTTCCCTGTGGGGATGCTGACCCTGAGTAAGGAGAAGATCATGACAGAGTTGTGCTTTGAGCTCTAACACAGCCCTGAACCTCCGGAAAGGTGAAACGCACTGTGCCCTCCTCGTGCCCTGGCTAAATATAGAGGCTGCACACTGCAAGTCAGTTTGATGTGGTGAGAACTTGAAAACCCAAAAGTTGAGGAATTATTGTACAGAAACATATGCCTTTAATTCACATTGTGTGGGCTTTTTGTATAGGACATAGTGTTGCTATAATGAAACGTACTGCTAAGTCATTCATTATTCGTTAATAATTAATGGTATGGTGAAAAACAAGTGGACATGAAAAGTGTTTGTTTCAGGTAATCGAAGGCAGACATGATTCACTGTGCTGTATTAAGTTTTAAGTTGCAACTAAGCATGTAACAATATTCCATTACAAATACACGAACAATATGTACTGTACGAGCTAATCCATACCTTTTTATATAACTAATTGGGGTTTAATGCCTCCTTAAAAGTTAGGCCCGCTCTCTTGTTTCAGGAAAATGTATTTCATATATACTGTATGCTGTTTAATGTGTGTATAATTCTCTGCTGCTGACACTGCCAGCTTTGATAGGCCTTTCATCACTCATCTGCATGCTTACCCATGATGCAGCTGGCTTATTGTCACTATGATCATGGCTGCTTGTATGTGATTTACCCCCAGGATCCTATCACAGATGCTCTCTTCTATAGCACCATCATTAGCGCTGTAGTGGCTCAGAAGAAGCTATGCCGGTTCCCAATACAATACAAAAACACTATCATTACATACATGTGCTTTGACCCCGTTAGGTCAGGTTAGCTTATCCCTTTGCACTTAACACAGCCCACACGCAGTTCCTATAAGATTAATAGAGCCACAGAGGCGGTAGTGCCACCCAGACCCCAGCTAGCCCTGAGCCAACACAACGAGGTCAATATAGTTCATTAGCGTTTTCCCTGTTTCTGGTTTCCCGCGGGTGAATAAATGCCCCAGTACAGTTTAAATCCATTTCACAGTGGATTTAACTCGCTTGTGTAGAGCAACTATTACATAAGTGAGACAGAGGGAGGGAGAGGAAAGGAGGGAGATGGAGAGAAGTATAGAGAGGGAGGTAGAGTTAGCCTGTCTTGCATCTTACTTGGTTGAGGTTTGCAAAAATTACCACTGTATGCCAATAAATAAGAAGGGAATCTCAGCAGAATGTAACTCTTACTGGAAAATGTTAAAATGGGTAAGGTACAAACCGGCGGCACACTGTCTGAACATAGTATAAGTCCTTTATTACATGGAGGGATGCCAGCATGTTTCGACCAGCAACATGGTCTTCGTTAGGACATAAAGGTGGAACATGACACATAGGTGTCATTAAACAGGACTGTATTGCAATATTGTATTTCATGTGACAATGTCACTATAGGAAAAATAAAATATGAAGAAGGTTGGCCAACTTTGAGGAATGCATAAGAACGGGAAGTAGATCAAAGGTATTTTGTAAGTTTGTAGTAGTTGTAAGTAGTATTTAATATTTCACGCCCTCTAAAGTATACCAATTATTTTTGAGTAGTTTTAAGTTCCTTTTTTAATATTGTGTGAACCAACTAAAGCCAATTATATTTCTTCTCTGCCCTGTTATAGATATGGACATACAGTATGTGACATGTTAAACAAATACTGCTTGATATATCATACGATGTATTTGAAAGTAGCACCAGGGGAAAGATACTAAGTGATTCCATTTCTGGGAAAAAGCCCCTGTCTATAGAGACCCACATTAAAGATTATATATAGAGTCTGTGTGGGGGTCACTAATCGCCCATACAGCGTTTGATGCAGGTCACACTGTTGGTCACAGTAGTTAATGGCTAAGCACGCCACTGTCAGAGCTCCCATGGGTGCCTGAAAGATACTATCTATATTGTAGCTAGGTAGTAATTTAAAGGTAGTCATTTGAGATATAGCATTTAGAAGATAGATTAAAAAACAAACAAATTATATAAATCAGCACATAAATGGATTTAGAAGTTTTACCCCCCCCCAAAAAAAAAAAAAAAAAAAAACAGTGATTGAAAAGTTTGAGTTCTTGCATGCACTTTTCACCCATGCTTCCTTGACCCCCTGTCCTTTGCTTTTGGCTAAAAGCTAAAATGGACCAACTTCATGGCTTTTTGAGAGCTGAAATATTTTACACAGTTATGTTTAGCCTTGAAAATGTTTCAGTATGTTGTGAGTTTTTTATTGCTGCATTTTAAATTGTATATTGCTATGGTAGGTTAACAATTTTGTTACCATTTGATGCATACACTTAGCACAGCAAAAGCTCTTTAAAACTGGCTTCATGTTAATGTTCCTGTAAGCAGTGTAGTGGAAACA